CCACTGATCAGACCAGACTCACTGCCCACTGATCAGACCAGACTCACTGTCCACTGATCTGGCCTCATGTGCACCTGCAGAAATGTAGTGCTCCTCTGAGCCACACTAGCAGGGGCTCATTCAGAGTACTGTGTAAACTGTGGTCACAGCATTACAAAAAAGAACACTCCTGCTCTGGAATCAATCACATACATTTGTAGGCTGAAGGGAATGTTTTACAATGGCAGGCCAAAAATTAACATTTTTTAAATCTTTAAACACAGAAGACTATGAGTGGAAGCAGATTTAGGCGATTATCCAAGTTTTTACTAGAATTTTCAACAACTTCATACCTACCAATGCCCAGGTGTGTCTGATTCAACACCCCCCTGCCATTACGCCATATTCAGCTACCATCTTGGCTCAAGGCTATACCATGGTCTGAGCCAAGATGGTGGCTTCCCCATAGGGAGTTCACTATGAGAAAGGCACAGTGTGAAAAAGACAGTGCCTTATGAGTGTGTGGAAAAGGCTCTTAGTCTTTCATATCTCCAGCAGTGACATAAACGCACCCAAAGTGGAAACACATCCGAGGAGGAGAACAACAGCCAACAGAGAAGGAAGGAGAAGTCTCAGACCACTGTGTATTGTTGCTGTGTGGAAACTGCGCTCCTTGGACCAAATTCTGTGCACTCTGCAGACTATCCCTAAGCAGGCAACTCAGCCTGGCGAAGACAGGAAAAGAAGAGAAGCTGATTCGACCTTTTTGATTTGACCTTTAGGTGCTGGGGTAGCTGATTTATATAGAAAGACCAGGAAGAATCCAGCCAAGACATTTACTGTAGTCTGACCGTGTCATAACAGTGTTTTGGCCTTGTGCACATACCCTACAGCTGAGCAGGCTGGGAGAGAGAGAGAGAGAGAGGTCTTCTCTGACCCTGAGGAAAAACGGGCTGTTCATAAGTCACTCATTAGCCTAAGAGAGAAAAAAAAAACTTTTCGTGAGAAAAAACAAGACCTAACTGGGAAAGTAGCTGTTTTTATTCACAAGTTCCCAAAATAACTTCCCACCCAACTGAAGATTTAAAAAACGCCACTGTGGTCGGTTCTTATTTTGCTTTTTTTTTTCAGGGTATCATTAAACAACAGCCTTCTGTTTCGATAAACACTAATGTCATGTCGCCAGGGGGTGATTTCGGTGAGGTATTTAAAAAGACTTCACGGCTTTAGTGCTGTGCTTATCTTGACCGCAGGGGGGCGCCGTTAGCATGCCAGAGCGCTGCACCTGTGCGGGAATGTGTCGTGACTTTCAAGAACTGGGAACAAGGAAACGGAATAACTCCGACCTCTTTTGAGTCAGACCTTAAAAAGCATGAATTGTTATGGGAAACCGTATTACGAAAGGAGTGGATAAGTAAGTTTCACGTTTTAACTCTCTTTTTTCCCGACTGTTTTTTTTTTTTGGAGGAGTTTTGGCACCTGCTAGGTGTTGTGTGAGAAACCTGCGTCGCCCTTTTCAACCAACATAACCGGGGCTGTTCCGCCGTGTTTCTCTCAGCGCTGCTTGTTGACACAGCTGTTGTTTCCGAGAGCCGTGTTGGTTTCCTGGATACATCTTTTTTACTTACATTAAACACATGGTAAAGTAAAAATAACAACAACAACAAAAAAAAACGTCGGGCTGAGAATTAGAAGCGTAGTTGTAAAACAAAACGCGACGAACGTTTTGAGTTTCTTCGTGAGTACCGAGAAGCTCCGTGGTGCGGGAGTGGTCGTAACTCCTAGCGCTGACCTGAAGTCGGCGATGCTCGACGGCGCTCTGGGGGTGAACTAGCTGTGTGTGACTACAGGCCAGTAGCCCAGTTAAACAGAGTCGACGGAGTTAAGCAGCTCCCTTCGCGTGTGCGTTTCGGTGGTGGGAGCTGGGTGTTGTTACACGGGCCCGCAGAAGAAGCCCTTTCTCGCAGTGAATCTCATTCTTACCGGCGACGCTGTGATAATCTGCTCTTGGCTGGACCTCCCCACCTGTCGGCCGGGCCGATCAGAACAGGTACCAGAAGAGCTCTCTTACCGTCCCTGTAACATGTCGGTGATCCAGACAGCCTGCAGCCGGATGTGAATGCTGAACAATTTCATCGTCCGTCGTCAATCTGTTTTGGATAACTCTGATTGACTCAATCAACTACCGATTGATTCAATGATATGTTTCTGTTGCATTTTAGGCGGGGGCTGAAGTCTCCAAATAAAAAGGATCAAAAGAAAGGTGAGTGTTTTTTTTTTAAAAGAAATTGTGTGGCACAGTCATCTTGCAGTATTCAGGAAGAAAGATGTGCCTAACTGGGGACGGAGCTGCAGAAATCGCTGCCCAAGGCTGGCCACAGGCTCAGCACTCCCAGGTCTGCCTGAAGCAGCTGGCCCTGGAGGAGTTACCTAGCAAGGGGGTGAAGAAGCCCACAGAGCAGCACCCTGCTGCAGGTGTGTCAGGTGCAAGGCCTGTCCTGGAGAGTAGGAGACACAGCAGCACAGCTTTGACAAACACTCATGTGTTCCTCCAGGTAGAAGCAGCTTTAAACCAGTGGTATGTCTTTGTGGCACATAGACACTGAAGGGCAGAGAGTTTGATGACATCACTGGTGCTGATGGGTAGAGTGCCCTATGATGTCACTGGTGCTCAAGAGCAGAGCGCCCGATGACGTCACTGGTGCTGATGGGTAGAGTGGCCTATGATGTCACTGGTGCTCAAGGACAGAGCACGATGAAGATGAGCTTTTTATCCAACAAGCCAGGCTGCATCTGTGCCATTATCCACAGGTGCAAATCATGTCATATTTGTGTATTTTCCGTTTCCCTTACAGATGGAAAGGCTGACCTCTCACAACAGGTTTGGTAACAAGTGTCCCTCATCTGCCATTGGCTTCCTGAACTGCACGCCCTGGTGGTTCTTCATTTCCACAGCCTTTTCTTTGTCTTCTTTGTGTAATGCAACGCTTTCGTGTGCGGCAGTGTGGAGCTGTGTTCAGGGTCATTGACTCATAACAGGAAGGGTTTGGGTTCGAATCCCTGAGACACTGCGGTTGTACCTTTAACTGTACTCCACCTAAATTGCTCCAGAAAAATACCCAGCTTTATAAATGGGTGCAAATTATGGGGATAAAAGTATCCATGTGGTAGAAGTGATACACTACTCTATTACTGGTGATTTACTTTATTACTCTCTGTTTCTCTGCTCCTGGGGTATTTTCTGTCCTTTCTGTCCTGTCAGTAGATTAGGAGCCTCAGCATTGCACGCTGAAGCTGTACCTCTGCATTTACGGAGTCGGCCACTGTGTGGCGCTGTTGGCATTAGAAGTCTTTGTAAGGACTCAACACCGTGTTCTCAGAACGAATCCAGTTCTCCTTCAGGTTACTTACAAGTTCTTAAAAATAATCCCTAACATTTGGGAGGTTTTATTGCTTTCTCTGAAAATGGAGTGGCAAGAAAAATGGAATTATTAATTGGACTTTAAATTGTGGTGATTTTTCCCTAGATTTTCTGCTGTGTGTTCGTGTGGGCCTGTGCCCTCCTCTCACTGCCAGTAACTTGTTCTTGCGTGTCTTTAGTTTCCTGCTTGCTTATCAGTGTTTCAAGACCCCCTCAGTCTCCATATCTGTGTTCTGGTGTGTAGTGGAGAGTTGAGCTGGGGGCTACTTGCCCCTTCTGTAACGCAGCACGACTCCCCCCTCTGTCCCGAGCAGGAAGAAGCCCACATGTACGACGCGGTGGCTGAGATGCCGATCTACTCCGTGGTGAACAAGCGCCGCAAGGCCGGGGGGCAGAGGCAGGAGGAGCTGCACTACGCCGAGATCCAGGTGCTGCAGGGGCCCCCCTCCTCCAGCAGGGGGAGCAGCGCGCCGGCGCTCCGGCAGAGCAGCAGCACGGAGTACGCCACCATAGACTTCCAGCCGCCCCCGCCCCCGCCCCACGGCCCCCCCCGCAAGGCGTCCGGCCCCCCGCGGGCCGCCAGCGCCAGAGCCAGGACTGCCGCCAAGCCCGCAGAAATCCGCATCCCCTCTGGCACGGTGAAGAGACCCGCCCCCAGGCCCCAGCCGCGGAAGGGCACGCTGGTGTAGCGCCCAGGCCGTCCCAGCTCCCACTTTCCCCCGGCTGTGCGCGCCAGGCCAGGCCTCTCCGGGCTCCCGCTGCGCCGCGCCGTGATTGTCGCCTGCTCCAGCTCCCCCCGGTGGTGGTGGAGGGGAGCGCAGCCCTGATCCGGGCAGAGGCGCTCGTGCCCGCAGGGTCCTCCTCCGATCGGCCTGCAGCTGGGGCGGGGAGTCCAGGGGCCCTTGGGAGGCGCCGAGTGGGTCCGAGCCAGGCAGCCCTTGCAGGTGAGCTGAAGCACACGGACACGGAGGGAGGCCACCGGGCCCGTCGTGCTCGTCCGATTGCGGGTGGCTGGGTGAGGATCTTGTCCAGCCTCGCGAGCAGGAGCGGACAGCCGATCTCCGTTTCGCTGCTGGCAGACTGCGTCTCTGCCCTCTGTCCTCACGCTCTTGGTACAGCGCAGTGGAGTGTGTCGCGTGCCGCGCTCTGAGGCCCGGCAGACGGGTCGCGGTGCTTTGAGGACACCTGCCTGACGGAGAGGGTGGCAGGCGTGACGCAGGCAGGGGGCTGACGTGGAGACGCACCCCTCTGGGACACACAACAGCTGGCCGTATGCTGACTCTTGGAGTCAGGATACTGCCTCCTGTTGGGGCGGGGGGGGTCCATGCGGGACTGGGGCAGTGGGGCAGTGGGGCAGAACCGGACTGGCAGGAGACTGGTGCCAGAAACAAGAGCTAAAGGGCTCCCATGCTTCATCTGGCGTGCTGAGGCCCGAGTGAGCCGGAAATTTGGGTCCACTTAATAAAGCTGGAAGTTTGTACAGTACGTAGTGGTGATCCCACCTATTTAACATGATCGCATTCTTATTACTGCAACACAGATTTAAAACTAAACAAGAAGTCAGCTGTCATGACATTGAAGGCCTAATAGAATACTGCTGCATATTGTAATTCGGAGAACAGAAGGCCGTCGTTTACACAAAGAGTTGTGGGGGGTTGGAACACGTCGACCAGCCATGAAGTCAAAGTTCTAAAAAGTGCCGGTTGAGTTCAGTCAGTTCCCTTCCTGTCACTAATCAAATCAAGGTTAAAAACAGTCTTTGGTTGGTGGTTGTGTCTTTCTGGAGAGGCAGCTTGTGTTGCTTGTGTGCTGCTTCATGGACTACCCAGTATCTGTGAGGCTCATTCCAAAATAACATAAAGACAGTTTCGTGCCTGAGTGTGCTTGGAAAATGAACAAGGACTCATCTAGGTTGCCTTTACAGCATTAAAATCGCTCCACTGGGATGGAAGACAAGAAATTTAGAGCCCAGTCCAGACTGGAGGAGACACCAGCTTCAAGGTCTTTTATCAGAAATATCCGTCAGTCTGTTTCAAGTTAAAAAGTTTAACTTCTACAATTGTTTCTGTTTGAAATTGTGTAAATAGATCAGGGGATTTTGTGTAATTGTTAATAAAAGGAAGGGCAGTGTTTGAGTACAGTGGTCTTTTTGCACCGCCGAAAGACCCAACAGAATGATTACAATAGAAGAATGTCACTGTGCTTTAATTTTTAATTATTTTTTAAATGATTTGTATGTGTTTCTTTGCTATAAAATACTATAAAATGCTATAAAATGTCAACAGCCTTGAGTTACATTTTTCTTCTCCTAAAAGTGTCTGCTCTGCTACTTTGGACATTAATATGTTGATATATCTTGCCAGCACCTATATCACCCTGCAGCTCCCAGCTGGCAGCCCCACTGGAGCTCAGCAGTGTGAGCCTGACCAGTACCTGGATGGGAGACTCCTGGGAGAGCTGAGGCTGCTGCTGGAAGAGGTGTCAGTGGGGCCAGCAGGGGGCGCTCACCCTGTGGTCTGTGTGGGTCCTCATGCCCCAATATAGTGACGGGGACACTATACTGTAAAAAGGCACCCATCCCTGGTCTTTACCCATCTTAACTTCCTAATAATCCCCATCTCTGAACTGGCCTCATCACTCTGCTCTCCTCCCCACTGAGAGCTGGTGTGTGGGGAGAGGACTGGAGCATCATCCAGGTGGGGGTACACACTGGTGGGGGTGGAGGGGATCCCCATCACCTGTAAAGAGCTCTGAGTGGAGGGTCCAGAAAAGAGCTATAGGAGTGTGAGGAACTGGTTGCAGGAAAGACTCGACAGACCGGGGAACTTGAGGATAAGAAAACTGGCTTCATATATTTAGTGCGCAATGTGTAGCGTACTGTACGTGATGAGATTTGTAAAGTCCAAGGGCTTGAAGAACTCCTGCGGTCTTGTTTTTATAGGCTCGGGGAGAGAGCTGCGTCTGTGCGGACAGCAGGGGGATAAGTAAATCTGCTCCCTTTTACTCCAGAAAGAAGCCCGGGTTATCCTTCTACTTCAATCACAGCCGCCACCGGGCCTCGATGAGTTCTTACACCTCTCAGTCCTGCGCAGATTTCAGCTTTTCACACCCCTTTGCCGGGTCTTTCCCGAGGACACTTTCTCACCTCCTCTGTCTTTTGTTCCCCCGCGCTCCGCATCGCCGCTTACAAACTCGGATTCGAAGAGCTGGGATTGGCATGACAGACGGGGGACGGTGTTGACGAGGCAGAGGCAATTAACACAACGTCTCCAGTGCAAACATACCGCTCTCTGCTCCTTCCTCACACACATGAAGGAGGTTCAACCGTCCAAGCGTTCCTTTTCCTTCTTGGCTTATTTTCGCCCCACTTTCCGGCGAGGAATCGACCCTTGCTTCGGTTTTTCGCAGGTGGGAAACTACTTTTCTCTGGCCTGGGTCTGGAAAAAGTATCTGTAAACCGAGGGCACATTGCACAGCGCACCCTCGCCCTTATTATGTCCATCAGACCCAGTGGCCCTTCAAAGGCGATGTCGTCGTTTCGTCAGGGGGGAGAGAGCGATGCAGAGGTGATGTCTGAGCTCTTTCGCCGGCCTGTGTCTGCTTAATTGCACAAGTTCCTCACGGCCGCCTGGTGTTGCAGGCTTGGTCACCATAGAAACCTGCCGCCCGTTGCTGAAAATTGCACCACAGGACAGCGCCGGGATAACAATTTCCCCTTTTTGAAAAGAAAAAAAAAACAAAACAAACGAAGATACGTTTTGAACAGCCACCGAGGCTCTAAAAAGAAGAATCCAAAGGGCTGGTGAAAGAAAGCGTGCCTGTCCGCATGTGTGAGTAAATCGTGCGGTGTTATAAACTCCGCAATCCCTGCGGGTTTTGTGCGGAGCTGACTGCGCACAACCTCTCTCCCTACGGGTCTGGCGCTCGCCTGTGTTCAAGTTGCCGCCGTGTGGCCGCGGGTGTAGCTGTACCTCTCGAGTATTTCAGTCATCGCTATTAAACCCACTACTGCTTTCTTCCGGACTGAACCCAGAAGCGGCGTTACACGCAGAAAAGCCGCCGATTCGTGTGGCAGGGTGCGCTCGCATGTATATCCACAAATAAATCTGGTCTAGCAGTCGTGATAAATGTGAGTATAAGTTTCCAAAAAGGCGAGTGTAGAGCAGGGTACTCTCCTGCACGTCGGCAATGCGGACTATCAAACCGACAGCGCAGCTCCTCCTATTAAACCGAGACCAGACGTGACAGTATCCCAGTTTAGGGAGATTAGTAACTAATCCGGGATTTGGACACCTGAGCGCCAGCTCAGGACCCGGACGCGGTGAAGAGAGAGGACGCTCAGAAAGCGCTGTTTCTTGCAGAGGCCGGCGCTCAGAAACGCGAGCCGGGCACGGGGCCAGCCATGACCACGAACGCGCCCGCAGAGGGCTCGGTGAGTACCCCGTGGGGACGGGCCCCGCGGCCGCGGCCAGTGTGGGACAGACACGGAAAGTGTGTTTTTTGGGGGGGATTGCAGATGTCTTTGTTTCCTTCAGGAGTGAGGGTCTCATGTCGCATTTTTTCTTTGGTTTAGTGTTGGAGCTGGGGTAGACGCTTATCAATGCAGTGGACAGTTGTTATTGTAATTATTGGACACCCACAGCCGGCCTGGCTGTAGTGTTGTGAATCATATGAGAGGCGGCCATTCTGTCTGTCAAACCCACTAGCTGGTAGTTACCAGCTAATCGATCAGATCTCGTCCAGCCATTTCTTGAAAGAAGCCAGGGTATCGAGTTCAACAGCTCGGATTGGGCAGCTTGTCCCACACTCCCGCCAGCTCTTTGTGTAAAGAAGCTCCCCCTGTCTGCGGTTTAAAATGCACTTCCCTGTAGTTTCCTCCTGGGCCCTCTGGTCCGCTGGCTTGACGTTCGAGGTATTTGAATACGGTTGTATCAGGGGCTGTCATAGCCTCCTCTCTTCCAGACTAAAACAGCTTCAGTTCCTTCAGCCTGCCAGTGTAGGAGCTGGGGACTTTGTGACTTCTTTATTTAATCACCTCACTGCTGTTCCTTTCAAGAACATGAAATGATCTGGCCTGTTTCTTGGATGAAGCCAAAGTATCCTCATGATGGGGCAGCTTGTTCCACACTTGCAGCCCCCTCTGTGTACAGACAAGCAGCAGAGAGGCCAGGCCTCAGGGGTGAGGTCTGCTGGTGGGGTTGGCGCTGTGTAGGAGAGTTTATTCTCAACAGACCTAGCTCGTTTAGGTAATGCATTTTTTCCCCCCCAGAGGGATAGCTGTGTGGATATTGTGTGGAGCAAAGCACAGATCTGGTTAATGGGGATTTTTTTACTTTGGCTGTAGGTCTTTGAGAGGCAAAAGATTTTGTGCCTCTTGAATGATAAATTGATCTATTGTGTTATTTTTCAAACCGATGGTAGTGCATCAGGGTCATTGAGTCCTTTATTTTTAATTGATTATTTATTCATTCTGATTCTTGAGGCCTCCCCGTGGTGAAATACACCTGTCCCCTAATCGCCTGTGTCTCAGGAGAGCCGCTCCTGAGCCAGGATTAGCCCAGGAGCTCTCAGGAGACGCCCTGTCCTTCTCCATTTGTAAAAAGCCCATTCGCATTTTTCGGGATGATAACAGAAGAAATGATCTAGACACAGTGAAATCTAGATGAGTTACAGTTTCTGGAGCCTCACTGCTTTCTCGTTGGGACGTTTAGAGCTGGTGGTTGTCTTAATGTTGACTGGAAGTCTCGCTGACAAAGGTCTACATATCTGACACAGCAATAAACAAATCAGCGGTGGTATCGCATTTGACCGCCAGGTGGCGTCAAAACACAAAACTAAAAAACGAAGACATGCGTTCCGAGTGGAAGATCAGTTGGTGGTTGAATTGACTCACTGCTGTCCTGCCTCTGTGATTGTACAGCAGCAGTCACTGTCAGCAGGTCTCATCAGGGTGTGTTGCTCACTGGGGGGGTGGCTGCCCCATAATGGACGGCGATGCTTTTTGGCTCCGCCCTCGGTGTCAGAGCGAGTTGGGTTCTGTCGTGAAGCTCAGGAGAGAACACAGGCGTGGCCTGGCGAGGAGATCTGTGGGTGACAGGCTGTCAGCAGTGGAGCAGTGGGTGACAGGCTGTCTCCAGTGGAGCTGTGGGTGACAGGCTGTCTCCAGTGGAGCAGTGATGCTGTCAGACCTGCGCGGGGGGAGGAATTTAGGTGAAAGGAGGAAGGATGTGGTTTTATTCTGAGCAGCTCATGCGTGTGTGAGAGTGTGTGTATGCATGTGTACAGTACATGCTTTTGATTGTGTGTCTGTGTGCATCTTTGCGTGCGTGTGTGGGTGTTTGTACGTGTGTGTACACATGGCTGAGCGCGCGTGTCTCGGTGCGTGTGCATGTGTGAGTGTTTGCACATTTCTGCAGGCGCGCGTGTATGTGTGAGTATGTGTGTGCGTGAGTGTGTTTGTGTGCGTGCAAGAGCATGTGCATGAGGGTGTGTGCACCTGTGCACGTCTGTGTATGTGTGAGTGTGTGTGCACTTGTGTGTGCGCGATTATGTGTGTGCGAGTATGTGTGCGTTTGAGTAAGTTAGAGCAGTTATGTGCACTTGTGTGTGTGCACTTGTGTGCGTGTGAGTGTGTGTGCACTTTTGTGTGTGTGTGCCCTTGTGTGCGTGTGTATGCGCGAGTGTGTGTTTGTGTGTGCACTTGTGTGTGCGAATGTGTGTGCACTTGTGTGTGCGTGTGTGTATACTTGTGCGTGCCAGTGTGTGTGCACTTGTGTGTGCGAGTGTGTGCAGTGTTTGCCCCGAGCTCTGCTGATGACAGTGCTCTGTGTGGCGTACAGCAGTCACAGTTTCTGTGTGTTTTTCCTTTTTAAATTTTCCGTCGGCAGCTGGATTTTTCCATTGGAGTCACGCTGGCTGGGGACTGGAGGCACTGAGCTTCCCGCAAAGCGCAGCCTTTAAAGTCGGCTCGAACCCGTGCTTTCCTGCCTGGACTGGGGCTCGAGGTCACCACGGTCGCGCAGGGTCTCAGGGTGGGAGGGGGGCAGTTCTGGGAGCTGAAGAAGCGGGGAGGGGGGTTTCAGATGAGGCCTGTGGCCCGGACGGCGTGGGTTCGAGCCTGAGCAGTGGCGCCCAGCGTGGGCACAGCGTGTCCTTCACACGCCAGCCTGACGGGGTCCCTCGGGGTTGTAATCCCACACCCCGGCCTGGCTCGGCACTCAGCCCTGGAGCTCAGAGCTCGCCGGTCTCCAGATGTCCTGCAGAGGATTCCTGACCCTCCGCTCACAGCAGCTCAGCTCTGGATTCGCGCCCGCTGCCCTGGGGCGGGCCGTTTCCTCAGGAGCACCCCGAGGAGGAAGCGAGCGGGGGAGCCATATCTGTGCTGCACAAGACCACGAGCGAGGCCTCGTGTCAGCAGGCTGTGTCGGGGCTCCTTTTCCGTCCCCCTGACGTTTCCCCAGGCCCGTCAGAAGCCCGTGGGACAGGGCCCGGCCCGGGACAGGGCTCAGGACAAACCGTGAGCTTGTTCTGCAGCACAAGAGGGCAGCCTGGCACAGCCCAGGAGAGTCTGCTCGGGGGCTTTAGGGCTGCTTTCTTATCTGAGCCTGACTTCTCATTTTCAGCCTCTGTCATACAAAAACATCAGCCAGCCTGAACTACTATCCGATTATGTTGGGTACCAGCCGGGGTTTTTTTTTTTAATGATACGTGTTTGGTAAATTCTGTCTAAACAATCTTGAAACTGTTAACAAACCGCGAATGCAGAAGATGGCTCCCTCTCAAATTAGCCTGGGCTGCTTTTAAACCCACCCTTCACCCTCCTGCCTAATGACTTCAGTGGCCC